CTTTTACTCAGCTTCGGTTGCCGGAGCCGGAGCCAAGCCAAATATATAGTCTCAGAAGCTCCGGTCCGGAGCCGGCTCCGACCATGGAGCCTAATTTTAGCTCCGGACCGACGCTGGCTCCGGCCATGGAGCCACATTTTAGCTGTAGACCGGAGCTAGCTCCGACTGCAGAGCCTAATTTTAGCTCCGAGTTCGGAGCTAGCTACAACCTGGAGCCCAATCTGGGGCTCCGGGCCGGAGTTAGCTCCAACCGTTGAGCTAAATTTTAGCTCCGGGCCGAAGCTAGCCTCTACCTGGAGCCCGATCCGTGGCTCCGGCCCGGAGCTAGCTCCGACCGTGGAGCCTAATCTTGACTCCAGGCCGGAGCTATCTGCAGCCTGGAGCTCGAGCCAGAGCTCCGGCCCGAAGCTAGCTACAACCATGGAGCCTAATCCTGGCTCCGGGCCGGAGCTAGCTCCACCCTGGGAGCCCGATTCGGAGCTAGCTCCGGACCCCTGCTTAAGAGGGCTACAGAAAATCATATGGCTGGCTGTAGAATGCGGAGAAAATCATATATTGCTGTGCGAAGCGATAAAAAATTATGCAGCCGGGCTATAGTTCCTATCGCCGGGCTTTACACTTGGACGTATTTCTACCAAAGAGACCTATGTGGCGATGAGAAATGTGGGGTGTGCTCGTGGAAGCTGGATAAGAAGCAATGTGGTCAGTGGGCGTGGTTCCTTTTGAAGAATTGGCAAAGCGGGATATTGCATTCTATCAAACAGACCTATGTGCAACTGAGTGCGGAACTCATGAGCCGCGGGCATGGCAAGAGAGCCTTGTGGACAGGGCTCATGAGTTAATGAGCACGACTACCGCAACCACGAGGAACGTGACGCGGCGTCCTCCTCCGTTGACGTCACTGGCGCACAATTATTCTCATTCACTCTTACGCAAAGAGACTAACGAGCACACCCCATATTTCTCACTTCCACATAGGTCTCTTTGGTAGAACTACGTCCACTTTTTCGCCTGGCTGTTGCTTTTTCGTCATCGATTATAAAAGGCTATAAGAAATTGTGTAGAAATTCGTGTGCTTTGGGAATCATGAAGTTTGATACGGAACCACCTTAATATTTACAAAACACACACTATATTTTCCTTTAATACATATTTTTTTTCCTCAATTAAAATGAGAATAATCCATACAGGATGTGTAAACATTTCAAAATCATGAGTTGAATAACGCTGACCCCGCCAGATTAAATATTAGAGCCTAACACAAAGCGGAGCGGCGACGCACTAGCGCCTACAAACCTAACAGGGATACTTCACGCATTGCGCAACGCGTGAAGTTTCCCTGTTAGGTTTGCAGGCGCCAATGCGCGTTTCGAGCTGGCTGCCCGCCTGCGCCTGCCGCGCCGCAGCGTGCCGCCCACGGCGGCGCTTGAAGCAACTATTTCACACCAAAGGTATTGCAGAGTATCGTACGAAATTGAAGGCGCTCCAACATATTAGGAATGGCAGGCGTCCATCAAAAGTACGGAGCTTTCCTCGCAAAATAAATCAAGATATTACGGCCCAAAAAGAGAGCGTTAGTCCAAAAACTCACTAAGTCCTAGCATCCGTAATTAATAACGTTTAGCATACACTTTATCGCCTGGCTGTTGCTTAATCGCCATCGACTATAAAAAGCTATAAGAAATTGTGTAGCCGGCTATAGAAGCTATTGGAAATCTTACAGCCGGCTGTAGGTCTATGGTATTTTGGAACACAGATTCTATACTGCCAATTTTTACCAGCGTACACCGATGTTCACAACAGGGTGCTGCGAAAGGCTGATTTTTTCCCCTCCGTCGATTTATAGCGAATAGATTTTTTAAAATTATGATCCCTGTACATCAGACGGTTCCCAACCGGTACTGGTGGTCTACAAAAAAGGCTTAACATTTTTTTTTATTTGTTTTGTTTGTTAGAAAGTCGATTTAAAAAATCATTAAAGAAGGTCGTTCGCTTTTTTCGTTGGTCCGCGGCTTCTATCTCTCGGCGAAAAGGGGGTCCGCGGCCAAAAAATAAAGTTGGGATCCGCTGCTGTAGTGCTGTCCTCTCTGATTTTCTGGGAATTACCCCTCTTTTTCAGGGGAAAACTTGAATATGGTGGAATTTTGGGTGCAATCCTCATTATAAGAACGGGTTTACTTACTGTTATTCAGATTGCGAACAGTCCATGCAGTGTTGGACGAGTCTAACGTCAAAACATAAGTAGGAATTGCCCAGGCCGAATGAAACAAGCACGTGATTGTGACGACAGCTAAAAGAAACCTGGGTTGCATTTTGAATTCGATTTGAAACATCCAATTGTGAAGTCTTCGCTGTCATTCATGCGGTTCGTTGTATTCGCACAATTAGATGAAGATTTGCTAGCGTCTCGCTGCGTCATGCTGGAAAAGGAAGAGGAAATTTTGACAGTAAACAATCAAATCGAGTTATTAAAGAAAAATAGTAAGCATAATGCGGCCATATTAAGGAAGAACGCCGTATGAACCTGCGGGCGTTGCTACATTTATTCCTTTGATACAAATCGAATTTCCTAGTGAATTTATGAATGTTTCTCGTCCAGGTTTTCAGATAATTTTTTCGCCATTTTACGCAAATTTTCTGAAAATGTCAAGGAAAAATATTCACAACTTTCCTCAAAAATAAGCATTCTACCGGAGGAAAGACAACTCTCGAATGTTCATACGGCGTTTTTCCTTAGCGATAGCGCGGCAGAGTGAGAGTACGTCGCGTCGAGCAAATGAACGATTTTGTCCGCTTATCCATTATTTAGGTAGGTTTACTTTATCAGTCTTAAACAGGATAATACCCTCTTTCCGCTGGATGTGGGTTTAAATTTTTGAAACGCATAAAATAGCGGAGACGATTTAAGTAACCTGACCGAAACCTAATAATTGTCGGTAACGGGGAAACTGCAGGAACGTGAATCTCGTTTGCGGTGTTTCGAAATCTCCGATCCCTTTTCATTTAATCAAAAGAAGACGAACTGACACAATTTTTTGACATTTTCACGGAATATTCTCCCCACATGAGAGGATGAATTAGGTGAGTTTTTAAGAAATCACGTGGGAGTTTCTCTCGCTTTAAAATAATAATGATGGCACGAAGTCTGTAGCGTCGTAGGTACCTAAACTGAGGAACGCGCTTTATTTTCCAATTTCATTGCCGCCGATGTTTGATATCATCAGGCACCACCAAAAATCGTCATATCTTAATGGAGATAGGACTATGAGATAAATCGATGGCTGAAGTCGTAAAATGCGCGAGGTTAGCGCATCTCCGATTCCGATGTTACAAGTCTCAACGCCAGTTCATGCGTTTATTTCTCTAAAAATAAAATAAAACTGAACCACACTCCACAGTTTTTCTGAAATTTTCTGGGAATTTTTTTTAGACATTCAAAGATATTCTCAGAAAATTTTAAGGAAATATTTTTGTTAGTCTTCTTTTACAAACAGGTAATCGGAGACTTTCAAACTTAGCAATTTAGTTACAGTAGAACCCCGGTTATCCGCGGTCGTCTGGAGCGCTGATATTTGGTTTTCTTGGATGAAAAATGGTGATAGTTTTCAATTGTCATAAAGTTCAATTACTTAATGGAAAAATATGGGAAAAAGCATCGGAAACAATGTTTACAATGAAAGTCATTATATTGATGACTCGGAGAATAAAAAAAGATATATCATACCATATCAGCGTGGACCATTGCTCATGTCACTCATGGCTGAAAAAACCATGCTATGGAGTATTTCCGCGTGAACTTTAATATGAATACTCATCCAAATGAATACACTTCGGAATTTATAGCCAGAGTATAGTCCTGTAAAAATGTATTAAAATGGCAGGATCTAACTCACTCAATATCACGGAAAATAGGGAAGCCGCATCGCTTGACACGATATCACGATCGGAGATGCGCGCTTTCGAACTGGGTTAGCCGAAATGTTGTTTATTATTAGAGCGGCCTCATTATTTTCGCTATCTCAGGTTTCTATTCATACGGTTTTGTGCACCAAAGGTCAGTCCTGATTAATTGAGATCGAGGCGAAGCTATGTGTGACACAGACACAGTACATACACCACATGGGATCAATTTCAACAGTTGAAACTTGGGTCCAGAATCGACGATTCCTCGTCAACGTGAGTCAGGCAGCGGTAACGCAGCGCAGCGAGCAAAAAGAAAAAAAAATGAATAAATAAAACTAAAATAAAATAAAATAAAAATAAAAATCGAGTAAAATGTAGATTTTTGTTGCACACCACAATTACGGTTGATCATGAATCGATATTCAATCAATTTGCTGTCACATGTCTAGACGAAAAAAAGGCGGAGCTTAAGAAAGTGGAATAATTGAAGCTGCGCTAACAAGAGCAGCGCGCGGACGGCTCTTGGTGTTGAGACAGGGAACTAACGCAATAAGCCATAAGCTCTGCACGGCCATAAAGGTACTCAAACGAGCAGCTCACTCCGAGAAAGTTCTGTTTAGATGCGGTTCTATGATCTCCTCCAAAATTTAACGCGCCCCTGACAACAGGCACCTCGGGGTATTTTCTCTNGGGGGGGGGGGGGGGAGGGGGGCTTCCTCTGGGAAGGGGAGTTCGCCCCCGGCCCCTGGAGGAAGGAGGTCCTTCTACAACGAAATTCTTCGATCATCCTGAATATTACTTTTTTAATACAAAGAACAGATTTATACGTGGGTGGTTTCACGATAGCTGGAATAGTTTTGTCGCCGTAACTAACAGGCAACATATTTTTTGGTCATATTTTTAGTAGAAATGATAATATCACTCGAATTTTTTCGCATTAATCTTCAAAAGGTTATTATAACGCTTTCTAATGATTTATTGCTCTACTTCTCAATTAATATTATGTAAATTCCGAAAATGTGCTGTCTGTTACATGGTAAAAAGTCAGCGTAACAGACAGTACATTTTCGGCCATTTATTTATTTATTAAAATTGAAAATTAGAGCGATAAATCTTTGAAAAGCGTTATAACACGTAACCCTGGATATTAAACTTCCATCGCCTTGCTTAGGCGCAGGGATACAACTATTTGAACTCTCCGGAACGCGTGAGGTATCACGCCTCAATTGAAGGCGTTTTCGAATCATCTGTTTTTTAATGACAAGATTTTCCAAAGTGTTTTGCGTTATTGTTGATTTGAGTTCCTTTTATTATTTAGTTAAATTTCTCCTGCTCCTTAATTTTTAATTATTCTGCAATAGTTATCCATTTGCGAAATACAATCCTGGCTTTAGCACCCTTAAACTACGGCCTTAACGGTTGAAACTGCAGTAGCGGCACAGGTAACCCGAAAAAACAAGCGGGGACGCTATACTTCAATATAATCTCATATGGCATGTTTAGTATAAGCATTCGCTCGTGTATTACCTGAAGTTTTAGTTTAGTTTATAGACAATTCTACTTCGCCCTTATCTGCTTCCTCCTCGATCAATGTTTTTATTTAATCACTGGTATCTAACGCCGGAATCACACGCTGAATTTGGAGGCTGAATATTATGGAAGTCGACAGTTATCGCTGAAAGGCTGAAATTTCGTAAATTAGAGTTATTTTCATTCAGATGTACATCAAATCTATTCGAATAGTTCAGACCAATCCGACACTACCCGATATTCGCTGAGCCTCGGGGCTGAATTTTGCGCCATATGCGCAAAATTCAAGCATGGGGCCGGTCACAGTGGGACGAAAAGGTGTCAAAACGGGACATTCGCACAATAGGCCGATTTTTCGCCGATCTTCTCAAAATTTGACATTTTCGGTCTTTTAAGGAAAAGGAATCCAATATTATGTTCAGTATTTATGGTTCATAGTGACAATCCCGCCAAAAAATGGTGTTGCCAAGTCTCAGTTTTAATCTATTTGATAAACAGATTAGCATGATCATGGTAGAGACTTAACGCGCGTGTCGTTTGCTTTTTTTCAATGAAAAAGAAAATGAAATCACTTTTCCTGAAATTGAGAAATGCTTTTATTAAGAATAACCCCCCCCCCCACCATCTTCTTACCTATCGCAAAAACCGCAGCGATATTTGACAATAGGGGAATGAGTTCATCAATGGGCTGACTTTAAAGTGAATCCGAAGATCATAAATGAATAAGTTGCTCCCAAATATTATCATTCTTTGACACAGATTCTGTTTTTTCCGTTTTTTTTTTTCAAGGACTATTCTTCTTCCGTTTTTGAGCGCCATTTTCTAAAATCCTGATTATACGAAATATGCAACAGACACTCAAAAGTTCTAATCTTGAGATGCCAGGGCAAAATTCCATAGGTACTTTAGAAACTTCGATTTTCTTAGGGGTCTTTTCTGCACTTCTGAGATATCGTTCATGAGAATGAGGATTCATTGCCACTTAAAATATTGCAAATTTTCCAATCGAACATGGTGGAATACAAATTATGGGGCACTGTCAATCTGTCTACTCTGGTTGAAATTAAAATTTTAATTTCAGCCTCGATTCTAAGCACCGTTTCCATCACGACATCATCCGATTTTTTGCAAATTCAAAATAAAAAATCGGTCTACAAAAAAAGACGACAGCAATCAGTATCCTAGATATCAGATGAGCATTGCAGCAAGCTGATAAGCAACGCAGCGGCAGCGGCGCGGAAAGCATATTAGCGCCTACAAGACTGTAAGAATACTTCACGCATTGCACGTTCACTACATGTTGCGCTTCAATCGTTGAAAATTCGTAATATCGCGGTCCACACCATTTCTGACCGGTGCGCACCCCGAGCCTGCAATCCTAGGATCGAGGGATTGTAGAGATTTTGCAACCCTGAATGGTATCTTAGTCTGTTCAGTTAAGTCGGAGAAAAAACGTAAATCATTAACGCTAGTGATATTTCGCCCGAAAGGCAACGATGTGTTTATTAGGGCGTCCCTAAGTAGAAGTGATCACGATAAGTTGCGATTTGATCGGAGAATGTATCGCAATTTTATTAATGCCGATTTATGGCGGTATTAACAGACAAAAAATTGCAATAAACTGCGATTTTATCGCGATTTTTTCGACGGCGATTTAGCACAGTATTATCGAACAAAAAATAGTGATTGATTGAGATAAAATTTCGATTTAATCCAACGCGATTTTATATAGATAAAAGTGCAACAAAATTGAGGATAATCGCTCAGATGTTGATGATCCTCAGCGATTTTTTCGCCAAAAAATTGTAAAAAAAATCCCGACTTGATTTCAAAATCTCGCAATTTTTCCGTTGAAAAATGCTACTCATAAGTCGATACGGATGCGTTGCCTGGCAGCCATTCCCAATATCCAGTCCAAAACTTCCTATTTAGAGGTGGGAAAAATTGGAAGGTGACCCAGGGACACGCGTAGGTACCCGACCTGTGCCTCTCCGATCTGCGAGTCGACGCTTCAGTCGGTACCGAACCGTAATTCATGAACAGACTTTTCAGTTCTCTCGCACTGATTCAAGAGGTGCGCTACTGAAATTTAATGTAATAGTAACCTGCCACTAACCTTTCAGCGACGGGTAAGACATACTTCCGTGGCCTTACCACACCACTCAGTTTGCTCGATTCTCGTTGTCTATACGGCGGCGTGTTTCACGATTTGGTTGGAAAACAAGCTCGATTGGAACAATCAGAGCTAAGATCAGAGAACAATTTAACATGCGCACGCAGCTCAATATCAAACAAAACTTTTTCTTAGTGGTACGTTCACTAAACGCCGTTGAATACTGCCGTGCTAAGGAAGAACGCCGTATGAATCTTCAGGCGTTGCCAAATTTCTTTAAGTAAATCACGAATTTTCGAGAAAATTTGTAAATACTTTTCCTCCCATTTATCAGCTAACTTCGTTCGCGAGTTCACGTAAAGTTCCCACAAAATTTCAAGGAAAAATATTTATAGCTTTCCTTAAAAATGAACATTTCATGGAAGGAAATTTGGCAACTCTCGAATGTTCATACGGCGTTTTTCCTTAGCACGGCAGTATACCCGCGAGAGGAACGGTTTGGCTGGCCTTGGCCGGACGAGGGAGTCTTGCTGAAAGAACCATCAAGCCTCCAGGGGAGGGTTGCAGAGGTTTGAAGCCCAGGAAGGGGGTGGAATTTTTGGCAGTGTGGGCAGTAGTTGCCACAGTTTCCAGGGTTATATTGGTAATGAAGGATCTAAAGTATCACTGCTGGAAATCTCTAGGGGTCAAAGTTGACTTGGTTTATCTCCGAAGAGCTCTGTGATTTGCCACTCGAGTGGCAAATCATGTCTTACAAGGTTAGGCTCCGCGGTGAGGGAAAAAAAAGTGTTTTTTCCATCAAAGCTATAAACGATTGTTGCTTGATCAAGAGGAGTTACCTTAGGCTAATCACTAGGTACTTTTGCACCTCACAAAAATGTTTTATCAGTAAATTTTGAAGAAGTTGTTAATGATAATACATTCATGTTGATACATGAGATTTTTTGTTACGTTAATTGAAGAGCCCATTGATTTCATCCAGTTGAAGAAAATAGAGATGCCGATGCACGTTTGGATGTTTTTTTTAAAGGAAAATAAAGAGACAATTGAGAAAATTAAATTGCTTGAGGTTTTATCAGATCAAGGAAATGTACAATAATTCATCTACAAATTCAAAAATGTTAGGGCTAGCACACAAAAATTAAGAAAATAAATGAGATCTAAAATTGACATACTCTTTAAATATTTTAACTAAAATAAAATCATATGATTTGTGCTTGAAACTGAAAAATAAATTCTTAAAACATTAACTGCAATTTTAAATTATAGCTTTAATTTTTGAGAGGGTTAACAAATTAAAACAAGGTACTTAAGTCGAGTTAAACTGGACTTAAGAAGAAAATTTTACACTTGACTTCACCTCTTGACCTATGGACAAATTTAGCAAAATGACAAAAACGGGGCAAATTTTGGTTGAAAAAAAACGAAGAAAAATGAAAAGAAGGAAGAATTTTTGGTTCAAACGAAAATTAATGCACAACAGGCAATTTGAAAGCTGACATTTCTAAATATTTCAGGAGTGGAATTTCTGGGAGAGAATGGGATTTGCAATTTGACCCATAAAACATCAGTAATATTTTTTAAGAAAGTCAATACAGCTATAAACTTGGTATGTTATCAACTACCATGCTCACAAAAGGCACATAAGCTTGTTACCAAAAAAATAAAAAATTCACAAAGAGGCCATAGTGATGGTAGTACTAATACATATATCGAGTTCAGGAGGAGTCCACCTAGAGTCAAGGAATCTCATCACATCGCTATGTTATGAAGTTTCATTTCACACTTTATTAATTTCTTCAAGATCAGTTGTAAATTTTCTTCCAGAATTTTTTGTGGATTATCTTGGTTACTTAACGAAAAATTCTGAAAAATGTTTGGTGTAAAGCAAAAGCTGATTAACTGATAAAAAAGTAAGCTTTCAGGTGAAACTTTTAAATTTTGCGTTGCAACTGAGTTCTTCTGGCTTTCACTGTTTGATGCAACACAAGACTGTATTTATTACCAGGCATGACAACCCTGCTTGATAATGCTACATAATCAGATCATATATGTAAAAACACTATGGCCTCAACTTTGAGCGAATTCAATGAGCTCAGGGGTCGGTCTCGGCTAAAACTAGAGATGCAATCATGAGTTTTCTTTTGCAAAATTTTACCAAAGAAAAGTGAGTTACATTGCAAATCCCCCTTTCTATAAGGAACTCCATTAAAATAAAATATTTAGACCTTTGACAGTTGAGTATTATTTTACCACCAAACATTCCAAAAAAAAAACAAATTTTAAAAAAAATTCAGAGGAATAAAAGTGTAAGATCTTCTGATGGTGGTTGCTTGCTCCTCTATGTATATAAGGCAGGATTTTTCAGTAAAATAATTCTATGAAACAGGGTATGATACATCAATTTTTCCGTATTTAGAATTAGGACGTCATTACAGTAAAAGAACAGCACCAACAAAAAAAATTCCTAATCTTTGATAGTTAGAAAAAAAGCTGAGGAGCGGAGAAGTGCGAAAGGCTACAAAGAACAAGGAAAAATTAAATTCGATATGAATTTAGGATTTGTACAGCCTGACCAAAAGAAGATAAGTAGTTATCAATTTGACAATCAAAACACATTTACATTTTATACAATTAATTTACACATTCATACATGAGAAAGCAAAACTTTTTAAAAAAAAAAAAACAGATGGCAATGAGCTGGAAAACCTGTGTCTCTTTAGGTACAAAACTGTAATAGGTAGCCTCCAGGATTTGAAAAAAGAGAGGGCAGAAAATTTAAGATCATGGAAGGCCGAGGCATTGTTCTATATTATTTGAGATTGAAGTTTTATGTGGTTCTCAAGGAGGGTTTTCCTCCATAGTCTAATTAAAATTTAACAATTTCTTTTAGCAAGTTTTTTATAGACTGAACAGGACGGAGTAGTTCGTACAAATTTATTATTCCTAGTCAAGGTTTTTTTCTAGAATAGAGAAATAATAATTATTCGAGATCTTTTGGTAGACTGACACTAAAATTCTCTGAGGTGAGAAGGGGCACAATTTATAAGTTCCACAATAATATCGGCATTATCAAGCAAAAGTGACAAACGGCCAATTGAAAATGGGGGGGATCTAGATTTTTTTTTTATTCCTTTCTGAAATATTTTTACCTTTCCTGACAGACCGAGAGTTTTAAAAACTAAATCGATGTAGCTTGTATGGAGGACAAACTGGTGTGATGTGCAGATAATAAACAGGGCTGAAAAAGCAATAATTCACAGTAATCACCCACAACTCAGTGCTACTAGGAGAGTTACTTGTTCAGTTAACTAATACTGTGACATTGGCGAGGAAAAAAGGATAAATTTCGGACGGCTGCGCAAATCTTTCAAACTATGTCATTCCACTTCCTATAAGGATTCACAAAGGAAGTATTGATAACGAGTAAATTCATACAGATATAAAATAATACAATATAGTAAATGTAAAATACAAATTCATTGGCTCATCAAGTGGAACCATTGAGTTGCAGTTGCGCAATGAAAGCTGAGGTTGGAAAATTATCAACAGAGCAACTAAACCTAAAGTTAAAAGAAAGAGTGAAAGTTGGATTTTTAATTCTCCATGGTTGAATGGAGCGATAATTTATTAGATATTTATCCATTATTCTTTATGATTTACATTGAATAGTTTTAAATATTTTTAATTAAAATTTCTCATGTTAAATGTCATAAAAGGAAATTATTTGAAAATTTCAATTTGAGTACACACTAAAGAATTCAGGGTGAAAGAAATCTCAAAAATGTTCAATTCTAACACTAAATCCACCATTAACTGATGAATGAGTATTCTTGATTAGAATTTAACAAAATGTTTGTCTACATACAGGAGGGAACTTGCTTTAGGAATAAAGCAACTTAATGGAAGGCTGCATTCAAACGTACCTTTGAATGCGTCAAGTTGAGCTTTATTACAAAATTTGCTAAGCTTTTTAATAATTTTCTATGTTAAGGTAAAGCATTACCTTGATGGAAGTTTGAGTCATCAGTACATTTTCTTCCTATTTTGATAGGCTTTATCACAGACATGCAGGTTTTCTTTCTGAATCACTGCGAGTCACTTTAGGTCTTGGCACTTCTTATTTAATTTTTGGTGATTAAATTAGATAGATATTTTCGTACTTAAAATTATTACAGCTTCTGCTACTAAGGTGAAAACATCAATTGAAGACTAGTTGATTAATTTACGAAAAATACTCTCACACAGTCTGGGGGCTTAAAAACAAAGATTCTTTGCAACAGTGAAAGAAAGTTTCTAGAAGGACTTCCTTTGTTTTATTTTCCCCATACGATCAGTCTCAGTGCAGCTGAACAAAAGTTACGCTGGGATTCTACTTATAAATGTTTCCACCTCTTCCAAAAATTTCATATTGTGTCTATGTTAAAATAAATCTTATTGGATGTTAATTTTCTATAATTTTTGTTCATCAAATCTTAATGATGATACATTTGTCTTGAAACATCTGCATGATTGTGCTTTAGTTGCAGATAAAATTATTTTTTGGTGCTTCTTTTAGAGTAGATTTTCATTTTTTTGCAGCAATCGGCAGATCAAGAATTCAATCCATCTTGAGGAGAAACTCCATTCTCTTGGACATTTTCCATTCAAAAGATAACTTTTTCATCAAGAGATGGAGGTTTTCTCCTCTTTTTGTTACACAGAAAAGTTCCGTCAGGAACACATCAAGCAAGGAAAATTCACAGTATGCAAGGTTGACATTCATAAAGGCTAAACAGATCAGACAGAGTCAAAAGACATCAACTTGCTCAAAACAAACCACTGAAATTTATAAGGCAGCATGGCTACACACTGAGGTGTAAGGTAACATGCTAGGTCAAGAAAAGACATTAAAAAGAGAATCCTTGACACAAATCAAGAGTCATTGTCTTTCATCACTATAGCATCAAAATAAGTAAAAAAATTCATGTGAACAGGCAATTTCTAGTTAACACTTCACAATGATTAGTTCCTGCTTAAGAATGCGTACCTTATCATTTTTAAACGATATTAAAAAAAAACAAGTTTGAGAGACGGGGTCTGAAGTTCGCCAAAAAAGGAGAACCACAAATTTGAATCGTGCTTCCCATAAAAAGGAGAATTTCTTTGATCTAAGGATGCAGTGAAAATATTACATTCTGACTTGCCGATTATGTACGACTCTCATTTCAACTTGTATACTGCTGTGCTAAGCGAAGAAAGTAGACCTAGAGTAGGTCAATATTTATTGCAGATCTTAGTTGATAAGGCCTTAGATGAAGGTCAAATGGAGTTAACAGTTGGAAAAGAATATGTGAACTATACAGATTTAATCTGCAAAATAGCAAGTTTTGAGTTAATGTAGAAGAGAAAAGGACTCCAGAGATAAACATGCAGAATTATGGAACTAGAACATTTTGTTAATGTAACAGATTTGCTTCATTAAGTCTGAAATTTATGTAAAAACCCTGTAAATTTATTCTTCACTTGAGTCTCCCGAGACTCGAGTCTCTAGGGGAAAAATTTGAGTAACTTTACCGATGCCTTTGGTGACTCCTTCTCGAAACAACAAACGCATGCCGACCTGAACATACTCCGGATGGCGCATGAACCTGAACAAGACCGCAGCATTATCGTTAGTATGCATACTGCTACAAGCCATGATTCCTTCAATGACAGCAGTTTGTCTTATATTCCCAATATGGACTGTTGTTTGGAATCCAGCGTGAATACTGGTCGAGTGATAAAGCACGCAAACTTGTGCCTGAAAATAAGGAGGGCAAAAGGAATTAAAATAAAATATAATTTATTGACTTGGTTTGATTGCAAAAGTGATCATGTACATCAAACCGATAATTACCAAACAACCGTTGGTTGGATTACAAAGCCTCAAATTTGAAAGATCTTCATGTAAATTTGAAGTGTTGAGTCTTTTAAATGATTTCAGGAGTCCATTTCTTCATTTCAAACTTTCCTCAAAGGAAACGTTTTGATTTCAATTCGGTTTTCATCTTTTTCACTAAATTACTCCTTCATACCTAGAGAGGCTCAAAAAACCACATTCTTCCAGATTAAAAAAGTTATTTTGCAGAGAAATTGCACGTGGGTATTAGATGAAAAGTAACACATTTTTTTTTTCTTCTTTTTGTATTCAAATCTTGTCGCGTTGTGCCTGCAGTGTTAAATAGTGACCGAACAATCTTAAATATTCTCTGTTCTATGAGGCAGCTTTAGTAGTTTGTTGCTATAGCCATTTTCTTATTGAAAGAGCATGATAAAATATTGTTTACCTGGAAGAAATAACATGCTGATGGTGGCACATTACAACTTAATAAAACCATTCCAACACGAAGACCTGGAATGACTCTGTCTAAACACAGCGATGCACTCTGACTTGCATGAACTACCCTACATGGTGCTTTGTTCCTGTGTATGGACTGAACAGTTACAGGCAAAAATTCTCCATTTGCTAATGGACCTGAGAAAAATAAACCACAGATATCAATTTCAAATACTTGATGACTTAACTAAAAACAGACCCTACTATTCTTTTGAAAATTGTTTCAATGATATGACGACCATTGCAAATAGGATACATCAATAAAAAAATTTCTTTCAACTGATGACTGCATAAATCCATTGAGGAATGAATTAAAAAAAATTGAAATTAGTATTTAATTGGTGCTGTGATTATATATTTGTTTCACAACAGCGATTTAAATGTTTATTTTCAGAAGACCACTAAGCATACTACCTTACACTAAGTATAAATTATGAGGTTAAGTATCTACTGTTAGGTCATTATACAGATTAAATTTTTAACTCATGAATAGGTAGCTTCAGCATCGCTACAATGTATGTAAGTGGGTTTGTCACTTTACAGCGCTGCCTGGTACTCTACAACCCCCAACTGCCATTCACTTTTTCCGCTCAAACCAAAACATTTAAAGAATCTTGCACTTCAGATTCAGTTGCATTCTTCGTCCCTCTCATTAGGTGTTGTCTGTGTCTTCTCCTAGGAGGAACTCAAATCTAGGATCTACATTGGCAACCTATTTTCTGCCATTGCCACAATTACCATTAAATTTCATGCAAGGCTTGAGTCACAGGCAGTTTCAAAGTGGCTTGCGCTTACCTATGACTAGAGCGGTTTTTTCTGTAACAACACCTTTTGTGAGTAATCCACCCACAACTGGCCCCACATCATGAACTCGAAAAGTTTCGTCAATCTGAAATTCTGGCTCTTCCTGTAAGACAAAAACTTCCATTAAAATGCAAGAATATTGAAACATAAGGATGAAGAGGTGGGGTTGTTGAAAAGTAAGGAAAAACAGCTTAAAGAAATTATAAAATTTCCTGACAGGGTAATTTTTAAATCACTGGGCAAAACATATTCATTATGACAGTCTTTGAACAGGACTTTTGATACATGAGTAAAAAAATTATTCATCAAATGCCTGTTTTGGAATTCTTTCAAGGACTTTTTCATTCATTTTCTTCCCTTTTGAATTAAACGCCATCTGTGTACTTATTTTCAGAAATAAAAGCACAATTTAACGCATTTTTCAAAGTTTTCTTTACTGACCTGTTCAAGTCTTTGCTTTTCCTTGTTACTAACACCTGGTGGCAAGACATGCAAAAACCTTGTGAGAAGTTCCAGGCCCTCTCCAGTTACGCTTGAGATGCAAAAAATTGGAACAATATTCTCACTCAGTTGATTTGAGCCAGCTGTTAAAACATCATCTTCATTCCTGACCACAAGAGGTACCTGAAAATTGAAATAAAAAAAGAGCACTGTTAACAGTCAAATTCTTTGGAAAAGACTTATTCGGGTGCGTTCTTAAGCCTCCATGGAATTATAATTCTCTTATCCCATGTTTTAATATTACAGCACTCATATTTTATGCCATTCTGGAGGTTTGCTAGCAAAGACAGATCTCTGATAAAAATTCAGGCAGAAAGTTTGTGGAAAGAGTGTGAGTCCAAATGAAAGCAGTAGCAAGGAAAGTTCCTTTTTGCCAGACATTTCAACAGCTTATGGTAGACGTTTTTCTTTGACTACTTTCTCTTAGAGATATCAGATGCCGCAAACAAACATAAATCTTTTTCCCAAGTCCATTACCATAAGATTAGGCATTAAAAAATTATTTTTTCGTGAAAGTTCGGAGCTTTTGCAGCCATTTGCGATTGACTGAAAAGTAAAAAATTTAGACATCAGACATTTTCGGTGAGGCCAAATCAATTGGTGCCTATGCAAATTTTCTGAGAGGATAAATATCCAAGATATGTATGAGAGTACATAACATTAAATCGTACCCTTCGGCAGCCTGTGGATTTCAGTACATTTTCAACACCTTTGAGAGTTTCTTCGGGGGAAACAAGATCTACTTTGCTTATCACAACAAAGAAAGGTACATTTAAGGCAAGAGCAAGTGTGAGGTGCTCTTCTGTCATGCCTAAAACACCACCAGGCCCGCTGACAATAAGCATGATGTAGTGGGGTGAGTATCCACTGAGCCCTGCTACTGTCGTTCGAAAATACTTCCGGTGGCCTGCTAAATCCAAGAATGATATTAACTTCGTTGACACTTCACAGATTTCTTCAGCTGTCATGGCCTCACTGTAGTTCACAACAACGCCCTGTAAATAAAGAGAACCAACTGACATTAAGGAAAACCAATGGTCTACGGACAAGGGGCATGGAATTATAAATCACTAGTCTACATAACAGCTGCACTGCGTAAATATAAAAACTAATGGGAGACCCTGGAAAGTTAGATTCTATGTTAAGTAGAACAAGTGGCGCTGGTTTTTAATGTTAGCAAGAACTTCATGATCATACTTTCATTTCAAGTTTCTTTCTTACATTGAATACACTGAGGTAAAATTAGCGCTTCTTAACTGACAAATTATGATCCTTTAGTAAAACTTGATACTGCAAAATGCAAGAAAATTAGAAAGAACCAGTTGTCGGCGTAAAATAGATCCATCCATTGGCAAAATTGTAAAAAAGTTTTTAAGAAAAAGGATGGGTGATAAAAAAATGAAAATAGTAACCTTAGAGTTAAATCCAAGAATTTCATGAGATATAGAAGATGTGCGTCCCGACTGAATTTCATGGAGATGTCGGAACATGTTCAACCTCGCACTGCCTCTTCCACTATCGAGTTGTCCTTGAGTTAAAACACCTATCAAAGTAGATTTTCCGGCATCAGCATTCCCCATCACAGCCACTCTTACTTCAATATTATGCTGATCATCAGGAATCTGAAATAATGAATAAAACATAGGTAAATGATTATCTCATGAGAGAGTATTTTAAAAGAATGTCGTCCTAGCTCTCAGGAGCTTTCTTAAAACAGGGAAACCAAACTAGTAATGGTTCGAAATTCTTAATTACTAAATTGATTCTTAAGATCTGTATTAAATCTGATAAGATTAATCGTATCTTTTCATAAAACAGATGCAAAAATTAATGATGCTTGGAGGAGGGATTCAATGTGAACCTTCAGAAGTCATGAGTATGCAAATACGTGTATTGTTGAAATTTTACAGAGAAAATAATTATGCCACGTAAGATATTTTCATTAATTCATACAATTTTCTTTAGAATAATGAATAGTTCAAAATAAAAAAATGTTAGGATACTATAACTGTCATAATGATTACAAATACACATGCATTACTTCCTGATTATTTACACTAGAGTAGCTATGTACAATACTTTAAAAAAATTCTCTAGCCTCTTCCCACCCTGAGAACTCCTTGGGACCTCTTTTTCCCATAAAAAAGAGGTTACAATATCATCAATGAAAAAAATTTCAGATACGTTTTGGTTTGATCTTTACCATTCAATTGTTTATTGAAGAAAGCGATATCAAGCAGTGTGTACCAACTTTTGACTCCTAAAGATTTAACTATTTGACTGAAATACTTTCTATGAAGAATATGTTACTATTTGTTTAATATTAAGAAATATAATCAAAGATGCAAGGTCAGCCAAAATAATGTTCACAGAGGTTCATCAATCAAAATGTTGTCAATGGAAATTGAGGCGATCCAAGTGTGTTGATCAGAACACCATCAATTGAACCGAAGACCACCGAGCTGTATTTTCATTTTAACATACCTTCCTGACTAGAACTTCCGTCACTTTTCGAGTGTTGTCAACCATTCTTTCTCGGAGGACTGTGGTTGTAGCCCCCAATTTCATCGCCATTTGCTCCAAAGTTTTCAGGGAAGCTCTCATGTCACTTTCACTTAAACCTATGAGCAAGCCACTGTCTTCAACACCTATTTCGTAAATTGCTTCGCCATGACCTTCACGAAGCCTCCACTTCATCTGCAAAAATTAAATTAAAAGAAAATAGAGGTTAAGTTTCAATATTGAATGTAATAAAAACGAAAAAGGCAGGGGCGTGTCTAGGGTTGTAGACCGCCTGATCCCACTTCAATGCATGAGAAAATGAGGTAAGGGCCCTGAATCATACAGAGGAAAGACAAGATTTGAGCAAATTTCCATCATTTGGGGGTCCAGATTTAGTTAAAAATTCTTAATAGAAATCCTTTCATTCAAACTTATGATTAATTTTAGTCTGATATTTTTCTTGAACTTTGATTTTAATGAAAAGTAAGTACTTAACTGTTAATAAAAGAAATTTTGCAGTTATCTTTCATTACATACATTTTTTATGCATCAATGAAGCACTAGTACACATATGTCTTATTGCTATACTTGACAGTGCTTAAGGAGTTGATTTCACAGTATTTTTTATAATTATTTTCTGATATGGGAAATAGCGTAAAAATAGATTCAAAAATGAGAAAATGCACCGCCTAATGACGTCATTTCCTGTTTAAACACATGTATTTTAGCAGATTAGATCATTTGTCAGATCTCCTCTAATAATTGTTCAATTCATGAGCCAAGGGTATTCTTGCATTAAGTTTAATCAGTAGTTTCTACTTTAATACAAAATTCATCCAATTGTAGACACTTGCAAATCCTCCATTCGACTAATATTATACTCCATCAGTTTTTTTACGACAGAGAAAAGTAAGAGCAAACATTTTGATGAACAGACGTTACGTCATGAGAATACTGCAACATTTTAAAAACTGTTTTGAATTTTACAATTACATTATAAAAAAAAAGAAGAAAAAAGAAAGAAAAAAGAAGAAAAATACATTTATCTGTGCATTTGCTGGGAACTTAATTAAGTATCCGCTTACCTGAGTGACAAGATGTTGAAACCTCAGTCTTGATGGAGTAATCAGTTTCAATTTGTACTCAATATTTCCTAGTTGAGGCTCTGGAGGCAACGGGCTATTTTCATCCTCCGGCCACACCTCACTCATTGTGGGCCCCGAGCCCGGGTCGAAGAGCCCCAAAAATGAATCCATCGTTTTTTCTCTTATTTACCTGGAATCAGAAAACATAAATACATGATCAGGAACACTTTTCTTACATATAAAAACTCAATATCAGTCTTTTAAAAATACCCAGTTTATGACTAATCTACATGGCTGCTTTGGTAATCTAATCTCTAATCTCATGAGACATTTTATAGCAGAGACGTTGCAAAGCAGTTTTAAATTATAACCAAGGGATGGTAAAGCCTGAATAACGTGTTGCTCATGAGAGCAACAAATGTGTTGCTCTCATGAGCAAAAGCCAAAATCAGGGTTGTCATAATTTCTTCATATTCATATTCCCTGATTATTTTTGCTTTTCCCTAACACCACATTTTTTTAATTCCCTGACTTTCCCTGACCTTCGAACAAAATTTCCACGTTTTCTTTAAATACACTAATTTCCGCTGAATTTTGGTGAAAATGTCCTTGTTTAGCGATCAAATTATGGAAAAAGGCATTCAGTAGCTGGTTAAAAGGTGACAAGCCTTAAAATGACAAAAGAGGAAAAACAATTGGGAGCAGGGCCGGATTTACCGACTTGCCGCCCATGGGCCGCCTGTATTTTGCCGCCCCCTTCTCATTCGTTTTGAATCATCAATTAAACCACCGAGTGAACGTGCCGGATGGGGAGGGGTGCATGAGATGCGTTTACTCGTGTTGGATAAATTTTTTGCGAGAGCCCTGTCAACACTACTAGCTAAAGGTCACGGAACTTTACGCGAAAGTTAAGTTCCGTGAACCTATCTCTGTGTGGACAAGGCCTTTCATTTATAAGAAATTAACAAAAAAATTATAAAAGAACAAAAAAAATGTGGTTTAATAATTTTAACTTCTGCCGCCGCGCCGTGCTGACCGCACTGCGTTTGACGCAATGCGAGAAGTATTCATGCAGTCTTGTAGGCGCTAATATGTGTTACATGCCGACCGCCGCGCGCTTCTCCTTTTCATCTCAAGTCCTCGTCATCATAGCTCTCTGTGCCGCGCCGTTCCAGACCTAATTGCGTATTTGGTTTCTCTCTTAACTCGACTAATTAAAGGTGCTGTCTTTTGTATCTCCAAGAGACGACAAAATACTTACTATACTCTCTGGAAATGAGAGATTGTGTCGCCTTTTCTCGTTTGTAATTTTTTTTTCTGAATCCAATTGTTTTTCTTAAAATACAATTAAAAAATTGCAAAATTTGCCGCCATGGACCGCGGCCCATACGGCCATCCCCTAAATCCGGCCTTGATTGGGAGATCAGGGATGCGTCTTAAAAGATTAGTAGATGTGTCAGAAATTCCCTGACTATTCCCTCGAATTCGCTGATTTTACATGAATTTTCCCGGTCGCTGCAAATTCCTTGACTTTCCCAGATTTTCACGATTTTCCAGACCACCGACAACCCTGCAAAATTTTCCCCCTTAATCAACGCTCAAGAACGATGACGACAAAATTAAATCTACAATCCCGGCTCAACGACCATTCACATTGCATAAACAGAGGAGACTTACTGATTTTCCTCGCGCTCGCGATGACAACGTCAGGATGCAACTATTTCGGTTCAACGGACAGCCGCGTTGCATAGACGAAAAATTGAAGGCGCACTGACTCCTCACGCTCTCGCTCGACGCACGGTGACGCGTTCTAGGTTTTGCTGCGGTTAATCGTCGGGGCGAGACTGTGCACTGAAAAAAAATTCTCGGGGTTTTTACCACGGTCCGTTGGTACCTTTACCATCTCACTTTTTTTACCAATTAAGTATTGGTAATTTTACCAAGACAGACTGGTAAGCTTACCTAAAAACCGGTATTTTTACTGTTTTATTTTTCAGGTAAGAATACCACTTTTATTGGTAATCAATTCCCGGTAATTTTGCCATTTTATCTCGGTAATTCTACTACAGTCGATAAAAATATTGGCATTTTTACCAAGGTACAGTAAAATTACCGAGAAAGCTCAATAATTTTACCGAGATTTCTCGGTAAAATTACCAATTCCATAAATGGTAATTTTACCAAGAAAAAACTGGGATCAAATAGAACCCTGAATTCTTGATAATTTTACCCTTTCCTTAGTACTTAAATACACCGAGATTTTTTTTTCAGTGCGGAGAGCCTAAAAAACCCTTAACTTTCGACATTTAAAAGCGTATTACAGAGAACCGATTTGACTACAGCACGGTGCCCCTTCGAAAAATGGAAATTGACTTTGAGAGAAGAATATCACGGTGGTCGTCGGAAAATGAGAGGAGACAAAACTCGTAAAAATTGTCCACGTTGTCTTGTCATGTTGATGCATGACTTGGATGGTAAAAGCCTAGTTCACTGTCAAAATAAAAAGCTTTTCTTGACATTTTCTGACTGCGCCTGAAAAATGAGCTCCAAGTCGAGGGAACGATTCATTCAGTAAGCCTGGTAAAATTTCAGCTCCGACAACGAGTCTCCTCTATCTAATTGTCACGACTACATACGGATCACGACAAGAAAACTTTTTGTCACGACTGAAATTGGGCAGTGTTTAGTGGAAAGGAACTGGACGACGTGGACTTGGGTTAAGAAGAAATATTTTAAAAAAATAAAAAGAAGAAGAAGAAGAAGAAGAAGAAGAAGAAGGAGAAGGAGGAGAAGGAGGAGAAGAAGGAGAAGGAGGAGAAGGAGGAGGAGAAGGAGGAGAAGGAGGATAAGGAGGAGGAGGAGAAGAAGAAGGAGGAGAAGAAGAAGAAGAAGCGAAAATACAAATACGTCAGTCGCTCAGTATAAAACTTACATACAAGGCGTTCTTACTTCTGTATAAATGAACTTCTCTAAACTTGATTCCAACGCCGTGACCACCGCACGCTGGGACGCTGGGGTTTTTGCCCCCCCCCCCCCCCCCCCCNGGATCATAAAACTGGATTTCTGGATATTACGAAACTCTTAAGTTGGCGGGAGAATGGGAATGAGAATTTCGCCGGAGGCTCAGTTCACCACGCCTCCGCTTCGGAGAAACTAAAGTTCAGGTGAAGGCCATTGGCCACAGCTGAGCCAGCTTCGGAGTTACCTACAAACCTAATGATATACACATTCACACGTGATCGAATCGCGTGCGGAATCGAATAAAAAAACTCGATCGAGTAAAAGTGCTAACTACTGCCGGTTTGACGGGAAGAAACTAACGTTTGCTGAAACGGCTGAACTTCGGTTCGAAAGGTCCACCAAAGTTTTCGGTCAGAGAAATCGAACTTTGGTTCAAGAAACAAAATTCTACGGTAGAAAATAGAGGTTTTTTTTCGGTGAATCTCAGTATCAGGACAGTAGCTGAAAACTTTGATTACCTGAGCCAAGGTTCGGTTGCTGCAACCGGAAAGTTTGTAGGCCTAAACCGAAGGTTGAGAGGCCGTATGAAACAAAGTTTGATAATTTTAACAAAAGAAGATTTTCCCCCGTTCTAGATCTCTGCTTGCAGGTGCCATGAGAAACGTGAAGTCTCGAATAAGTGTTACTGTGACTTGAAGATAGAGGAAATCAACTTCCCTCATTTTTCTTCTCTGTTGGCACAATATTAATTAGAAGATTCCGGCGAGAAAGTTGACTTGTTTCTCTTTAAAAAAAATAAAAATAAAATAGGGGTGGTTTTAAAAGGAAGCAATCAAAAAACGTGGTTTCACACTGGCAAATCTTGAGCCATGGGGCGCAGTTCCCAAGTGTGATACCCTTTGAATTTGTCCTCTTCTTTTTTCGCTTTTTCTTCTCTCATCGCGGTAAAAATGGGGCAAGTTATAGATTTTCCTCCGTTATTGCCAATTTTGCCACGAAGTTAGGCGCGGTTCCGTGAGGAAAATCCGAAAACTGGCTATGACGCAAAAAAAAAAATAGATTAGTAAAAATGCAATTTGCGAAAGGAAATTAAGTAACGTTGAAATGCAGTTACTTTTTTTCGCCAAGAAACCGACGATACACATCAAATGGAGACGCGCGGAGTTAGTTCTTCAAAATTGTGCTTATCATTCTCCCGCGCCGCGCGGTTGATTCTAAAAATTTTTTCCCCACGCACTTCCTCGCGTATAGAACTATACCTAGACACACGCATCTTTCATCAGGTGATATTTCTGATGTCAGAATTGACGTCAAAGACGTGACGTACCTACAAATTTTCGAACCTGAGTAGTTCATATTCCCTTCTGTGCACCTTCTGCTCCTCGCCGTACGCCAAGCCCCGAGTATGATCGAACAGACACTCATTTTCGTTTGGTGGGTGATTAGGAATCGCCTAATTTTTAACGAGTACAATTTTGATGAAAGAACGCGACAGAACCCTGATAAAAATTGGCAGTAGAATCTGTGTTCCAAAAAACCATAGACCTACAGCCGGCTGTAAGATTTTTTCTTATGGCCTTTTATAGCCGATGGCGATTAAACAAAAGCCTGACGATAAAGTGTATGCTATCCGTTACTAATTATGGATGCTAGGACTTAGTGAGTTTTTGGACTACCGCTCTCTTTTTGGGCCGTAGTATCTTGATTTATTTTGCGAGGAAAGCTCCGTACTTTTGAAGGATGCCTGCCATTCCTAATATGTTGGAGCGCCTTCAATTTCGTACGATACTCTGCAATACCTCTGGTGTTATAGTTAATAGTTGCTTCAAGCGCCGTGGTACGCTGCGGCGGGCGGGCAGCCAGCGCGGAACGCGCATTGGCACCTACAGACCTAACAGGGATACTTCACGCATTGCGCAGTGCGTGAAGTATCCCTGTTAGGTTTGTAGGCGCCAGTGCGCCGCCGCTTCGCTTTGTGTTAGGCTCTAATATTTAATCTCGTGGAGTCAGCGTTGTTCAACTCATGACTTTGAAATGTTTGCACACTCTGTATGGATTATTCTCATTTTAATTTATGAAAACAAATATGTAGTAAAGGAAAATATAATGTGCGTTTTGTAAAATAATGTTATGGTGATTCCGTACAAACTTGCGAATTTACAAAGCACACGAATTTCTACACAATTTCTTATAGCCTTTTATAGCCGATGACAAAAAAGCAACGGCCAG